GGAGAAGAGAGTTTATGACTCAGGAGAGTTATGTCTCTTCCTCTCGAACTATATTGTATTTAAAGCCAAAATCCACAAATGGATTTCACAAGCAAACTTCAAATTAAATTAATATTACATGATAAGTCTTTACTTTTGACTACCGACACAAAAGGACAATTTCAATTTTACAATTCACAAACCTTATTTTCAGCTATCAATGCAAAATGACAAAATTTAAAAGCATCTTTTAGACGATGTAAAAATCAACATTCTTATTGGAATGCATGACACAGTTACAATTGGGCTCAAGTAGCTTTCTAGCACAAAATTTTAAAATCCTTAGTCATCTTCTGTCGACTTAAGATTCTCCGCGATTTGGAGAAGAGTTATGCTACAGTCTCCGAAATTTTCTCCAAATCGTCATCCAAAAATTTAAAATATTAATATTTTTTAATAAATTTATTATAAAATAATTATTTAATTTAATATTTTATAATTTAAAATATTATTTTATTCATTCGAAATGAATTTCGACATACAGATTCGAGGCCCAATCATTTTTCTTTTGGAGAATCCTTTTAGAGATGACATATGTCGTGTTAAGTTTAAAGGTATTGAAGTTGTCTAGTCACAAGTTTAAACTCGGGGTCTTGAGTCGTTTGCAATTGAAACTAGTCATCTTGTAGACTACTAATTACTACTTTTGGGTTCTACAAAGAAAGGATTTCTAATGATTTTTTTCTTCAATTCCTCTTTGGAATGAGCTCCAAAAGATAGTTCAAAAGGAGCCTTCTTTTTTAATGTTAAAGCCTTCTTAGTTAGGGTATAAGGACTTAAAGCTGATTTAGTTTTCCAAAATTTGAATTTGGCCTTGAGGAATTCTATATTAAACTTCTTCCACCAAAATACTTTTATTTTTAAATAGAGGTTTGGTGGATAAGGAACCTATAAATGCTGATGGAATTCAAATATATGTTTGAATCACCAACTTACATCCATGGTAGAGCAAAAAAAAAGGAGTTTTAGATGAACAGACATACTTTGGGTTAATGTGTTAAAATTGTCATAATATTTACTGATTTTAATGGTAAAATGGCTCTCATTGGTCCTATGAATAGAAACCAGTACAAAATCTAAGATAGTATTTCAACTAGTAATTCATTTTTAAAATTGATACACCATGAATGTCTGGGGTTATTTTTGAAAAGAATCTTATACCAAACATCTTAATAATCAAAGTAATTATAAGAAGAGGGAAAAAAGGGTCTTGAAAAACCCTTTTCAGTGAAAAAGTGTTGATTTCAATATGAGAATAACAACACTTTAATAATTTTAAGTTTATAATAATTGATAATGGAGGAATCTCTTTTATCTATTTTTGAGGTGATCTCTACAAAACTAGTACCAATTAACATATATTGATAAAACCTTTTAATTTTTTTTCTTCTAAAACTTGATTTTTTTGGTATCCAACTCCAATAAGGAGGGGATAACTTTTGTATTATTTTCTAAAATTTGAGATTTTCTAACTTGGATTCTAAGATAAGTATTCTCTAACAAATAATTTCAATATAGAAATCCAATGATAGAAGTAATTATGGGGTTTTTTAAGAGTTTTTAGAAAAGGAAGTTCTTAAGACTATATTTGTAGAGTCTAGTAATTTTTTGGTATTAGAGGTAGGCTTTTCATATGAAGGGGCAAAGTCGTTTAATAATAAGCTTTTAGAGGGTGTTGGAGTTCTGGGTCCCACAAAGGACCTTACGGGATAAGGGAGTTTCATGTAGAAATTCACGAGTTAAAAAGTTAGGTACAAAATTATTTTTTCTTTTATAAATTCTATTTCAAAATAAAAAAATAAAAAAAATAAAAAGACTTTGTCATTTGGCAAAAACTTGTTTTGAAATAAAATTTCTAACATCTCTTTCTAATACTTCTTTAGCTAATTTACAATCTATTCTTAAAAGAAAGTTTTTATTTATTAAATCACGTTAAAAAATTTGTACACAAAAGACAATGCTTAAAATTTCTTTTTTAATGGTACTATATTTGAGTTGGAACTCTATCCAAACTCTCAAATGGAATCTAATTATTTGTTCAAGGTATTTTTTTATGTCTTGTTTTAATATTTCTCCAAAACTTATTTCTATGCATCTATTTCTATAAAGGCTTATAAATTGAAAATTCTTAAATAGGGTAATATTTTATTAAACCTTTAATTTTAATTATTATTTGAGTTAATTCATAGGTCTAGGGTTTAGGATTCTTCCCAAACCTATTAAAAAGGGGTTCACATATTATTCTTAAATTGGGTATGCAATCAGTAGTGTAATTTAGGTATCCTAAAAACTCTTTATAATTGATTTTTATCTTTTATTTCATTATGAAATTTATCAACAAATTATATACTTCTTTTAATTGGAGTTATAGTTCCTTGGTATATTTCATGTCCTAGAAATTTATTTTAATTTGGACTATTTTATTTTCTTTTAAGAAATAACCATTTTATTCTTTTTAATAATATTTTTAAAGGTATTTAAATATTTTATATGTTGTTCTATGGAGTTAGAAAATATTAACACATTATCAATATAAACAAATGCAAATTATAATTAGATTTATTATATTTTATAATGTTTTGAAATTTAGATGATTGTAAAAGTAATTTTGTATTTGTATTTGTCTTTTCTTTTAATTTTATTTGATAATATCCAAATTTCATATCAAAGAGAATATTATTACTTGATATATTCTATTAATTAATTCAATTTTGTTAGGTAAATAATACCTAATCCATTTTAATATCTTGTTTAAAGGTCTATACTTTATTACTAATTTTGGTTCTCCCCATTCTAATTCGAAAGCATTTTGTATATAGAAAACAACACAACTCCAATAAGATTTACTAGGCTTAATTAATTTTTTTAATTAAAAATAAATTCATTTTTTTTCTATAATATTCCAAAGTTTCTTTATTTGATTGTAGTTTGACTTTACTCAAGATTTTACTTCTGTGAAATCTTTTTTCATATGGTAATTCTACTATGAAAGATTTCCCTTCCCAAATAGCATTATATACTTTAGTACAAACTTCTTTTACAAACTTATTTATTATTTTTTCAATTTTTTTATTATTAATAGATTTTTAATTATTCTTTTATTTTTTTGTATTTTATTTCTTATTGTAAATATAATATTTGATTGTTTTTAACTTCTATTTTTTTTATAAAGTCATCTTCAATAACATCTTTAATTTCTAATTTCTTTTGTTTCATAGGTTTTATAAATTTAGAAAATCAACTACTTTACTATTTTTATTATTTTAGATGAATTATTTATTCATTTCTTTCATTTTTTAATAAAAGATATAGTTTCTTCTTATTGAATACATCTATTCATTACTCTACTTAAAATCGAGAATCCAACATCTGTATTGAATAGTTAACCATAAAATTTTACAAAGAAAAAAGTTAACTATTAAATATGAACTATTTTTTCTCCTCATTTTTTTTTTGAGTAGAGAGATTACTAAATTTAATGGTTGATCCTCAGCCTATATAATATACTACTTGCGGACTACGTTAATTAAGGTTTTTTTTAATAGTTAAGACTTATGATTCACGCAAAAATTAACAACCTAGCATTATTTTAATTTTAAGATTAAAACCTTTATTTAGTTTTTTATAATATTTTTTTGTTTCAATTTAGTCCTACTTTAATTTTTAGTTTCAATTTGGTCCCCAAGAATTTAAATTATTGCAATTTGGGACTTCTATCCAAATGATTTAAATGAAGTTAATTTTTGGCCACGTGGATATCAGGTGGATACCATGTAGATGTCTAGGTAGACGCCAAATTTCATGAATACACCTGGAACCAGAACGACCTGCTCTGAAATGGGAACGGCCCGTTCTGCTTGCACATTTTATGTGTTAATTTTGCAACTGGAACAGGTCGTTTCAAATGCAAATTTAACACACCATGAGTGCATCAGAACGGGCCGTTCTGGTGTTAGAACGGGCCCGTTTCAAAATGCTAACTTCGTACATACGTTGACCAAAATGTCGCAATGTGATTCAAAAATTAAAAATAAAAATTCATAACATATCATAAATTCAAAGATAGAAACATGGTTCAGAAACTGAAAACAAAAATTCAGAATATAATATATACTAAAAAAGTTCAAAGAAATTACTGAGAAAGGAAATCATCTGGGTAACGCTGGGTAACGCTGAAGGGAAACCCTAAACCAAAAAAATTCAAGTTGTACCTCCTCAAAAACAAGTTGTTATTGTTGGGGTACATCGTTAATGACTTCAAGGGAAAACATCGTTTTGTTTCATCCTTGACTGTATAGTGTCAATTTGGTAGTAAGTGATTCACTCCAGTTTGACTAATAATGAAATAAATCATGCTACCATTGTCCTTAGTGATACACTACATCATCCTTAATAATATACTATATTGCCCAAATGCTTAGCAATTGAAGTTATCAATCCCCATTGACAATATTACCAAATCTAGTGTTTGAAATGTTTTGTACCTTGAGATTTTTTCATTGCATGATTCATAACCGTGAACTATAGTCATCGACCATTCTGGAACCAGAACGGTCTGTTCTGAAACCAGAACGGTCTGTTCTGGTTACACTATTGGTGTGTAAATTTTGTACCTGGAGGTACAAAATTTACACACCAAGAATGCAACCAGAACGAGCCGCCAGGTGTATTCAAGAAATTTGACATTCATCTACATGGCATTCACCTGACATCCATGTGGTCAACTTAAATCATTTGGACAGAAGTACCAAATTACAATAATTTAAATTATTAGCGACTAAATTGAAACCAAAAATTAAAATAAGACTAAATTAAAACAAAAAAATATTATAAGAGACCAAATAAGAATTTTAACCTAATTTTAAACATAAACAGAATTTAAACTCGAGCACCAAGTCCTTTATCTGAAGACAGAGGCTTTGTAATTAGTGAATGAAGAGGTTTAGTTAACGTTAATTAAGTATAGTTTGAAAGAGAAAAATAAAGTTTAGTGAGAGATATGATGCAAAATGAAAGGTGTGAAGGGTGAAGAAAGGAAATACCGATAATAGCATCCATCCACCGACGCGCCTTCTCTCTCTCTCTCTCTTTCTTCTCTCACACACAGACACACCACACTCTCACCGATGAAGCACCGAACATGGCCTCGTGCCTCCTCTTCTCCTTTCTGCTCTCTCCCTTTTTCCAACCCAACCGCTTCCCAGATATCCGCCCGCTCCACGCGCCCTGCGCCGTCCTCCCCCGCCGCCCACTCCTCGGCGCTTCCGTACGACGTGCTGGCCAAGATCGCCGCCTCCTTCGACGACCCCAACCTCCGCGCGGCGTCGCTCGTGTGCCGCGCCTGGTGGGAGGCGCTGCGGCCGCTGCGGGAGGCCATGGTGCTGCTCCGGTGGGGGAAGCGCTTCAAGCACGGCCGCCGCGGCGTCCGTCGCAACGCCGACAAGGCTCTCGACGCCTTCAATAAAGCCGCCGCGCGCGGGTCCGCCCTCGCCATGGTGGACGCCGGCCTCATTTACTGGGAGAGGGGCGAGAAGGGCAAGGCCATGGAGTTGTATCTCAAAGCTGCGGAACTCGGAAACCCTTCTGCTCAGTGCAATTTGGGAATCTCCTATCTCCAAGGTTTGCATTACCCTAATTTCATGTTTCAAGTTTCGACCTTCCGTTTTTATATTCCATTTGGGCTTAAGTTAAGTTAGGCCCAACTGCAAATTCTGAGAGTTAGGAACATCAATCTTTCTAATCACATGCTACTTTTGGATTTTCTCTCTTTACTGCTTATTGTGTCTGCATGCTCATACGTACATACTATGAATAAAAATTATTTTTTCCACATTATTATTATTTTTCTGTCTGCGAGATTCGTGGGTAGAGATGGTGGCTAGAATTAATTTTTAGTATTATTTAAATTAAATTAAAGGGAGGCTGTTAATTTTTATATTTGCATATGTATTCCTTTGTGTATTTTAATGGATATATAAATTATGCTTATAAAGGCTATATATACATTATGCTATGCAGCTGAACCTCGGAATACTGAGCAAGCTTTGAAATGGTTATATAAAGCTTCTGTTTGTGGGAATGTTCGTGCCCAGTACCAGCTTGCGCTTTGTCTGCATCAAGATTGTGAGAAGATCCGTGGCAATATGAAAGAAGCGGTTGGTGATCTATTCTTTTTATGTTCTCTTAGGGAGGGGTTATGGATGGGAATTGCCTTATAATATTGGGTTTTTTTTGGTTGTTATTGTGATGTATAATGATTTTAGTTTTAACGTGTTTTTCTGGGGACAGGCTAAATGGTATATGAGAGCTGCAGAGGGTGGGTATGTCCGTGCTATGTACAATATCTCCTTATGCTTCTCCTTTGGGGAAGGACTGACACGTAATCATCAATTAGCAAGGAAATGGATGAAGCGGGCTGCAGATCGTGGTCATGGTAAAGCTCAATTTGAGCATGGACTTGCTCTCTTTTCTGTGAGTATTTATCTCTTTATGTTACTCCTTTGTGTTTTCAACTTCAACCTGTGAATAAATGAAACACTCAAAATGTCTTTAGTGAAATTTTCTCACCTTAACAACAACCAGACATGAGACATCATGACACTTTTGTTAGATCTGTTTTACTACATTTATTTGTTTCCAAAGCTTGTCAATTAGAAACTGAAGCCATTTACTAGATGTTTCTGCTATGATTTTCTCATCTTTGGTTCTATTCAGTGTTATTTGGTTATGTTTGCGATGTTCTAGACCTCTATTCTTCTAGATTTCAAGTGCATTATCATAGATATAGACTCTGCATTGATTATTATTTGTTTGAGATTTTATTTCAATCTGGCATTCTGATATTTGCCCTTTTAGTTAGAGTTCTACCTTTTTTATCAGTTGCCTCAATTTTTATATTTGCTGGTTTCATTCTTATGTTCCTGTCTGAAATATGTTTATACAATCGGAATAGATATTAGCAGTAACTAAAAATATTGGTAGGATTTATGGTAATGATAATTGACTGCTAAAGGGTTGGTGGACAATATTTGTACAGGAGGGAGACATGATGAAGGCTGTGGTATACTTGGAACTTGCTACTCGTGCTGGTGAAAAAGGTGCAGCTCATGTCAAGAACGCAGTTCTTCATCGCCTTTCATCAGCTTCACGAGATCATGCCATGCATCTAGCTGACAGTTGGCGTGCTTTGCCATCAAGTTGATCTGATCTTTATTTGTTTTGAGCAAGACGTTGCATTAACCTCGATCAGCAGCATCGTAAGGGTGTAGTCAACAAAGAAGACCCCGAATATGAAAACAAGGAAAGCAGGAGCTGACTAAGAAATTGTCTGTGCCTACCAGTTCTGACTATAGTGGTTTTTCCTCTATTTATATAAACAAAACAACGCCCGCTAGAAAGGTTGAAACTCGAAAGTTCCTATTTGGTTCCCCTTAAGTTAGAATTGTCCAGGGTAGAATGTGGTGGGCGTTTTTTGTCCTAAAATTGCCATCTAGAAAATTCCAACTTCATATTTAGATTATATAGAATGGATGGATAATAATGTAATACTAAGCTGTCTGTCTGACTTTACAAGAGAATCAGTTAACTTGAGTGGTTCATAAGGTAATCTATAATTTTGTTTTATTTTGACTTGATGATTAGGACATTAATATTCTCCTTTATACATGAAGTTATAGTTTTTCCCACCAGTTTGTACCAAGCGCGAAAGTTTCATCTACTTTGGTGCATCATATGGACAGAGATTTGAATGCCGTTAATTTTTCAATGTTGAGGTGCTTCTTGTTTGATCTGGAACTTCGTCTATGCACGTGCTTCAGTGGCCAGTAGGTTAAGGATGTTTGGGAAAATACACGGTTCTTCTCCCCATGTAAATAGCACATGCTTGTTCAACGATACCAAAAGTAGGCGAATTTGGTAGCAAGAACTTTCAAGGGATGGGATGTTTTGAATGTGGTATTCATATTCTCAAATGGATGAGAAATCAATTAGTCTTGCATTGCAGGGCTGGAGCTTTGTTGATGCGGATCAAATCAGTCGTAGTGAACATGAATGCTTCTAACACTTCAATTTATATCAAAAGGGGACGGGTAGAATTTCTAAAGAATCTCAACGTCACGACATTTCTTAACAACGAGATACTTTTGTAAAAAATCGTGCACGAAATGTGCAGCTACTGTAAATTAAAACTGAGTATTCCTAGCCTCAATTGACTCCAATTATACCTTTACCACCAACGGCTCTATGGAACGCAATCGACTCACGCATAAAAGTTCCCATAATTGAGTTATATTCTACACAAGACATGGAAAAAAGGAAAGAAAGGAGAACACTATTTTTCAACGTAGCAAATGGCCATGTTTTGTCGCCATCTATAAAGTAATGCATATCCTGCAGCCTTATTATTTAGATAGAACATAACATGCAGACAAGTTCTTTCGATTCGGAGCTTTTTTACACGAGGGCAAGACAGAATAAGCCAGAAAAGCACTTTGTAACATAACAGATCTCCCATTTACAAGTTATAAACATCACATCGGTAATCAAATCAGGCCATCAGCTCAAAATTCAATCCTTTGCAGGCTCGTTCAAGCAGGAACTTAACAGCCCATACGATCAATAGTCACATGTGAGCAGAACAAGGAATCGATCTAATAAGGAGGAATTTGGAAAATTGAGATGTTACAACAATTATTTAGAGATATGGAATAAACTAAAAGAAAAACTAGAACACATTCTCCTTTAAACACAATTTTCTTGACACTCATTATTAAGTGAAACTATGTAAATCCTGCTATAAATCATGTGAATGTTACTTCCTTTTTTGACAAGTCCTACATAGTTCAGTCTGCATTAAAACAGATGATGAAATATAGCACCATACTAAAAGTGGACATAAAGGGCAATGACTGATTCCTGTTGCAATACAAGAATAATAATGCTTACCCATTATCATCTTTCATTGACTTAACAAGCTTCCACAGCAAGTAAGTTCTTTCTGTTAAACATGAAATTCCAAAGACTAATGAACAAAGCAAATTTTGATTAAGAAAATTGTGCACTTGAAGTATTGACTATTGATCAAGACACAAGATCAGAGATAAACAACTAAACTGACTTCCAACAGCAAAGCCCATGCACAATTGATGAAGGAATCAAACCTAGATCAATTATATCCTGCGGTAAGAATTTGAATTATCAAAAGGCAGTGTAGAACATGCTGAACAAAATAAGTACACAAGTAATAAAATCAAATGACTAGAAAAGTTAATTATACAATATAAATCTCTGCACAACTGCCACCCTATTGAACAGTTTTATGAGGGAAGAAAAAGAAAAATAAAAAGAAACAGTCTAAGCTGAAAAGCTAACGTATTTTTTTTAAGTATGCTTTGTTCCTATAAAGCCCCTCTTATTCCCCAAAGAGTTGGCCAGATGCAACAAAATCAACACTATACTGATGAACCCACAAAAATGCAGGGTTCGCAAACAAGCTAAATTTGTGGTCAAGGCAAATATGATATCCTTTGAGAATTCATTCCTGCATGATATAAATTGAGGTGGATTATTGCCCTGGAAACCAATTCCTTTATATGTTGAGGAAGAACTGTTCTATCTGCACCCTCTAGCACTGTCAACACCCTTGCTTGTTCCAAGGACTCACTGTTGCCAGCATGCAATGCAAGGTAGCAAAGAAGAGTTAGCCCATGATGCATCTGGGTAACTTCAGTACTCCTTAGCAGTCTCATCAGTGTGGGGATTCCATTGAATTCAATGATCGACTTAGAATGCTCCACATGTAGGAAATTATCCGGAGAAGCAAACTTGGTAAGAGCAACTGCTGCCTCATCTGCTACTTCTGCATTTCTACTACCCATCTGTGTCACTAGAGGTTTAATTACACGAGTCTCTCTAGCAGGAAACGTCCTAGCCAAGGCACCAATGGATTTCATCGCTGGAATCTGCAATGCCGGACTGTCCACCTCATTAATTATCCTCAACAGCTGTTCCACAACCGCTTTAGCAGCCGGAGAGTTAGTCTTAAATGCAGCTCGGCGAAGATCAGCATTGGATTCCGCAGCAGCAGTTATCTCCATTATCGTCATCAGGCAATTAAACTGCAGCTCCCCTTGCTCGTTCTGAACAATCTTAGCCAAACAAAGCATTCCTTTGGTCTCGGTTATCTTCCTACTGTTGGTCACGCTCCCTCGTGCAAGCATCCACAACGCCTCAGCGCAACTAACCTTCAGCAGAAGCTTCACCGCAGGATCCTCATTCTCCCTCTCCTTCCTTTGGTTCCCTCCCCGGCTACTTCCCTCCACAAACGAATACGAATTCGAGTAGGAATTTGCAAACTGGCGGCTTCCCCGGCTACCTTTCCCCAACTCCTTATTAATCTGAACAATTGAGTGAATACTCTGCTTCCCCAATTGGCCTAATGGATCATCTACAAAGGTATCAAACGACAAGAGTGTCACAAGAGGCCTAATGGCGTTCTCCCGCGCGAATTCCTCCTGCGCAAGGGGATCATGCTTGGCCATCCTGGCAACCAAATTGGCAGCCAGGGTTTGAACCCTCATTGAGGAGTCACTAAGAACCTGCACAACAGCAGGCACTCCAAGCTCATCCACAATGACTCTAACCCTCTCTAAATCATTAGCCAAATGACACAAAGCAGTAGCAGAAGCAATTTGAGCAAGAGGAGAAGTGACCTCCTTGAAAAGCTTCAACAAAGGAGGCACACCACATTCCTCAACTATGATCTTCTTATTCCTATCATTATCTTGTGCCAAAGAAGCAAGTTCATTAGCAGCCTCAATTCTATCGTTCAATTGACCCATTTGAATGGAAGCGATAAAGGACCATACCCAAGACAGAATAGGGTCGTTGCTGGCGATCGGAGCCAGGGAGATGACAATGCCGCCGCCGTTGCCGCCGCCGTCGGCGTCCAGGATGCTGAGGAGCCACTTCATGTCGCCCACCGAGGCGTCGAGGTGGCCGAGGACCTTCCGGAAATCGGCGGCGCTGACGATGGACACGACGCGGTGGAGGATGCTGCGGCGCTTGCACTTCCGGACAAGGATGAGGGCGCGCTCCAGGTTCTTCGCCGTCTCGGCGGCGACACGGCGGATGGGGCGCTCGTAGAGCGGCGGAGCGGCGGCGGAGGTGGCGGTGGCGGTGGCGAAGCGAACGAGGGTTCGGAGCATTTGGAGGAGGCGATCGACCTGCTTCGAGACCTCGGAGCACTCGAGTTTGAACGAGTCGGCCTCGTCCACCGCCGAGCGAACTCGCTCCGCCACCAGAATCGGGTACGATAGCTCGTCCTCCACTCGCTTCTCCTCCGACGACGCCATCTCCGCCGCGCCGAGTCACCGTGGAAGTAATCGAAGGGGTTTGAGTAAATGGACGGTGCGTGGTGAGAGGACGAGTCAACCGAGTCTACGCTGAGTCTGATAGAACCCGAGTCGAGAAACGGAAGAGGAGTTTATGTTGTTGTTCATTTGTTCTTCTCCTGCCACGCATGTTTTTATGTTTTTGTTTGTCCCAACTTCAAACGTTACCAACACACATGTAACTCTTCGCTTTTACAGTATTAATTAACCAATATTTTAGTATATCCAATGTTCGGAAAAACATATATTTTATATACTTCAATTAGGTTTAATAAATTTATTTGATTTCATTATTAGTTTTAAATTTGCATAAATATATTTTTAAAATCAAGACTCTTGTTCAATTTTTCTGTTAATTATTTATTGAAATAAGAAAAATAATTTTAAGTAAAAGTTTTTCTTATAAAAATAATTAATGTAATAAATAAATACTTTGATTATATGTTGAAGTTAATTTGCTTTACATGGGGAAGGTTGCAAGAATTAATTAGTGTAAGAAGAAGGGATTTGATTTTTCTAATTAGGGGTTTGGGAAGGAAGGAGGAGGTGACTGGTGACTGGTGAGGAGTCAAATTGACTAGTACGTTACGTAACCTCTGCAAACAATACTTAGTCATTCATTCTTAATTTCTTATGTAATGTAATGCACTGCCCTGTTCATGGCACGCGCCCCGAAGGAGCGTGCTTTTCAACACTTTTATAACATTATTTTACAAAGATAATTTATTACTTAAATTTTCTTTTTAACAAGAAAAACCCCCTTCTTAAACAGAAAAAATTAAATTAACGTGGCTTAATAAGCTAGTTCATGCACTTTAATCATTGTATATTTTTAAAAAAAGGATTATCTATCGAATTTAACAAACAATGTCACTACAACACTATTAAAAAAAATACAAGATGAAAGGGCCCAACCGGGTTCGAACCGGTGACCTCTTGATCTGCAGTCAAATGCTCTACCACTGAGCTATGGACCCTGTTTGTGTTGTTGCTACTCGTAGAAGCTACCAATAACTAAGAAACGATGGATTACCTGAGTAATTTCGTATAATCTGTATTAATATATATGAATAAAAAATTGTATATGCAAATTATAATTTGCGTTATTTTCAACGGTTATAAACTTTTACATTTCCCTTTAAAAATTAACTCATTTCTACTTAGTTTTATTTAATTAAACAATTCTTTTTTTAACATTTTTATTTAAATATCTTCTATCGTTTCTCTATAAATTAAAATAATTTTGTTCAACCAGACATTTTTTTAAACTATTATTCGGTAAAAATGTTTTCAGAATTTTTTCTATTTTTTATTATTTCAATCTCTTCTCTTTTAATTTATTATTGTGTTATTTTTAAATTAAATTTTAGTAATTTTGCTTAAATAAATAGTTAAAAATAGTCTTGTATCAAAAAATAAATTATTTATTATAAATTTTAAATATAATTATATGATAAAATATTAATTTATTATTATACCATCTCGAATATGTTTCAATATAAACTCATCAAATTGGAGGAGACGAAAATAAGTAATAAATTATTTCATTCTTAAATTGTATCGAATTCAAACCAATTTTATTGTCTAATAGATAACCGATTAAGTTAAAAACAAGAGATTGATAAGATTAATCTAATTCCTCGTACTTAGCATATATATAACTAACCAATAAAAAATTTAATTTTGAATAATCTAAATCATAATCTTTCTTTTATATTTAAGATCACATACTATGATATTTAAGGATAAGTAATTACCCTATCAAATTTTAAATTTTTTGAATCTCATAAATTTATAACGGTTAAATATAAAAATTTTAACTCTAGAATAAGGAGAAACTTGAAGTTCGGAGAAACAATTAGTTTAATCCTAGTAAGTTTTTTTAAATGAAAACAATTACAAATTGGACATATAAAATTGTGTAATTTCAAATGCAAAAATACCGGTAAAATATGTAGTAAATACTAAAGGTCTTGTAGAAATTTCCAGACACGTAAAGCAATGAAGACAGGACCCAAATAACTGGTCCAAGACACAATCATAATTCATAAAACTTATATACTTAAAATTCAAAGTTATCTATAACAATTTTAATTTTTATATATATACTATTAGTATCATCAATACAAAAGTAATCCTAATTATATACCTAACATTCATATACAATGGTAATGACGGCATGTTAATATATATATATCAATTAAAGAAAAAAAAATAATTGGGAACCATGGCTCCATGGCCACATACCAATTAGAAACGTTGACTACTGAAATTTTAAACGTGCATTATACGGGGAGAACTGAAGTGTATTGTAATTTGAAGCCACATTCCTAACAATATACAATGAGTCTTTTCAAAGTTCATATCCAATTCGCACTTTCCTAGCAATTAATAATACAATGGTGAGTCAAGCCCCTCAATTCACGTTAACAAAATAGACAAACACAAGTAATTCCATGTTGCTCCTTATCGTTATCAATGTTTTCCTATGTCCTTTTACATATACAAAATGGGATGATTTTAAGAAATATCCTTCAAATAATAAGTTCAAAATATCGACTACTAAAAAACATGTATAGACTTTAAAAATAAGCTGCGTATGAACTTGAACATGCATAAAGTCTTAACTGCTGAATCAATCTATGATGTGTCCAAGCTATATAGAATCAGCAAAAGAAAGACACGACATTAACTTTGTTATTAAAGAAAAAAAATGAAATGGATACTGTTAGGCCTACTCGAAAGCAGCATGAGTCGAAATAAGTATACAAGATTCCTCCAAAAAAACATTATGAAACCAACACCTACCAAAAGCGTATTAGGAGTCTTAATTGGTCATGATCGAAACATGGTCGAATAGAGTTGGTCAAATCGAATTAAAAAATGTTCGAAAATAAGGGAAAAAGTTACTAGAAGTTCTCTAATAGGGTTGAGAAGTCAAATCAGAAGCAGTTATTGGAAAATGAATCGAAAAGATAAACACGTGGATGACCGGTTATGAGAAGTTATATGACAGACCACGTAATGAGAACGTCATGGATAGCGGTTACTTCCAATTACTCACACGTACACAATTAACTGCTCTTGATAGCTCTATAAATGTGCAAGGCCATGTAATTCACTGGGGTCGGAAAACTCATACTAAGACTAAAATCTGAAGCACTCTCTGCCTGCGCATATGACTTTCGTGCAAGGGATCGTTTTTGGGTATGACTAATTCTCGGTCACTTTCCTTTTTGCTTTATAGGAGTAGAATTAGTGTAGTTCTCTTGTTTTCTTTCTTTTAATCACGTAGTTATAGCGCTTTGGCATCGTAACTCTGGAACATTATACAATTTGAACCATGATTTGTATTGCAAATATCTTCATTATTCATTTTGTTCATCTTAGCATTTATGTATATGGAAATTATTGCTTGTTAATTATTGAAGAATCTTTAGAAACAAGTAACCATTAATCTTTATGTTCCTTCTTTTCTCGTTTCGTGAGATTCAAACATAAGATACTTAAATTGAAACGTTGATCCGTGCTACTTCGAGTAAAAAGAATTCCTAAACTAATTCTACCGTAAACAGATACATAATGGCGTTGGTCCATGAATCGAGACAAATGTGATGCATCAAAATGGATAACAATATTAGAGGCACCAACACAACACAACACAACAAAAAAGCCACATGGTCCCTGCACACTAATCCGGTTCACTCAAAAGTTGAGATAGATTTACACTTTAAACTATGCATTTTTAAAACAAGGTTGAATTACGATTCAGATTAATCTAGTTTAATATATAATGTTTCTTTTTACAAAATATATTATATTTTCTTTAAAAGTATAGATTTTATTAATTTACTGTGTATTAAGAATAAAAATTTATTTAATTAATAATATTTTTTATAGCATGATATTATATTTATAAAGAATTTATTTATTTTAAAAATATATATTGATTTAATTTATAATATTTCTTTTAATTTATAATTTTTAAATATGCATAATTTTTTTAAAAAAATTAATATAGTGTATAAAGTTCGATTGACTCGAAGCATTAATCAAATTAAGTTTAGATTTTAGGAAATGACTCGAAAAAAAAAATCAGATGGAATTTGCACAATAATGGAGGTATACTCACCCCTAGTTCAGAGCAGAGGACATGGCACATTGTTTGCAACTATTGAGACTTGATGCCCCAACAAAAATACGATAGAACAATGAGAATGAAGTAGAATAATCTCTGCCTCTCTAGAAGCTCCCAAAAACATAACATGTCACAACTTGCCACATCTGTAACATTCCAATCTAAAAATCTCACTCTGCCACTTAAAATAACGGCAGGCCAAATCTACATGTGGACGTGGGTAGTGCTCCTTTTGTCGCCAGCTTTTCTTTAACAAAGATAAAGTTTAATGCTACAATTTTAAATAAATATTCAAAATTCGAAAACACTGTTTTTCTTTTTTCAACTCATCAAATTAAAATTAATCTCGTATGTAATACTATTATTATTAGCTTAAAATATTTTTAGTACATGACTGAAAAAAAATTAATTTAATTTGATATTATCGTTATTTTAAACATAGAAGGATAAGTGGGTATGTATGATTCAGACATTGTAGCACTTGTCGTTTAGCAATGCTTGGTAAAAGTAATTCATTAAAATTTTAAATATATCAGTCATTTGGGTGAGACAACATTATTGTCAACAATGTTTATGACGGCTAACTGATATCTCTATATCATTAAATTAATGCAGCTGCAAAGGTCATCGAATCAAATTAAAATATTTGCCATAATATTTTGATTAGCTACTAAATGTGCCTTAAACCACACGGATGTTCCCTAATTTGACGATTATGGAGCCATCATAATCATATACCAACTAAACTAAGACGGGTAGGAATCTCACGGATTTTCAAATTATGGGCCATCATTTGGACGGTTTAGATTTTGGAATGTTACTTATAATTATGTCAAGTGTTTTACCATATACAAATCGATGTGACATACTAAATAAAGAACGAAGAGATGGATTTTTCATACTAGTAAGTATTATTATCCTTGTGGTAAATGCATGAAACAGAATTTTACCAAGTGCAAACATTATATACAGTATTTAAATCCAACCCTCTCTCTCTTTCCACTTTCTGATGAAAGGAACTTCGCATCAATTAAGATTTCAGCAACCAATATAGTATCATTTTACAATTACATCACATGTGGACCACAAGAAACTTCGTTATTTACGAATGACGATTTTTAATTAAATGATGGTAAACATCACCAAATGACTCTACTTATGGTCCTTTTAGAGCTTGGCAATTACCCCATTCTGAATAGGCTTTGCAGACATGCCATTGTCCTTATCATCCAAATCACTTGCACTTGGGGGAACATCTACAGCTGGGGAGCAATTGAAAAACCCATGTGGCTGCATCATGAATTAGCAGGACAAAATTAATTCCATCACTATAAACAGAAAATTCAGTTCGTTGGTACCACATGCTACAGAAAACTGCTCCAAAAGCCATGATGCTTAATTCTCTAACATTACATGGTTTAAATAATTGGAAGATATCCTTCAATTTTAGATTAGGAGATTTCAAATGAAATTCATACAGAACTATATTCCACTCAAACCTTAGGAGATTATTAAGAGATAATTGATAACCATATGTTATAGTAGATCAGTATGAATTTCACTCTAATTTTGCACCGAAAGAATGACAGTGAAATAAGGTAATTTTGAGTGAAATACCATAAGCATAAAACCAATGCGTTCCACTGGCATAACTGGCCAGTCTTCCAATCGCGGAATTTGTGTCACACCAAATACGTACCTGGAAAACTCCGACATATTTGATGCGGATTAACATGTAAAGAGAATGAATGAGCACAAGAAAAGCCCAAAAGGTGCAAGAGAAATGTTAGAACACACACCTTCCAATTGATTCAAATTTATTAAAAACTAATGAGTTTCACATTTTATTTAATAAGTTTCTTTCATGATTTTGTAATTTTAATAAATTTTAACAAATAAAAAAAAATGTGTTAAGAGAAATGTGTTGTTAACGTTCCTTATAAATAGAGATGAGAATATGACGTATTTTAAACAGCGTCACCTAATTTATTTAATTAAAATTTTGAACTTAAAAAAAAAAACTTGTTTATTCAAAAAGACTAAACTTAAGTTTATAAAAAGGTTTATTAAACTTGATAGATCAACTTATTTATCTACACAATATAACAATAAAATAATATATATTACATTATTAACAATATAATTAAATAAACAAATTTGTAATACTAAAAATCAAATTATCAATATTTTTTACATTTTTATTACATTTAAGCATTTTACATTTTTTGTTTATACAAAATTAAAAATTCAAAAATAGAAAATATTTATTTAAAATACTTCAAATAAAATATAAGAAATTTTTAGAAAGTTTTTTCTGATAAGTTTATCTTCTTTCATTACGATTGTGACTGTATGTTAATCTATACATGTATGTATGAGTTATTTCTCAATTAATTTTTTATTTTTTATTTTAAATTTTAATAATAATAAAATAAACTATTTTTATTATGCAAATTAAAAAAACTCACACATATTTAAAACTATAATTGTTAACTTATTTAAAATTAAATTTATTGACATATTTAATAACATTAAATAGACAGTTCTCGTAAGGATTCCTATATGATGGGAAAAATTGTACCCCTTTATGCATTGGATATTTGGATGTGAAGCATAGATAAAGCAAGCCTATATACTTAAGATGGCGGGCAAATTATATAAACTCTGATAGAAGTAGAAACAAGTGTGCACTAACCAAAGAACTATATCAGCTTCTTCCAGTGATCTATTTTGCTGAACCCAAGTAGCCAAACCTTCTCCAACACGCAGATTTTGATTAGGGAACTCTCCTCCAGGATGCATTTCATCGGGAGCATAAGGAGTGACCCAAAGATTATGCTTCAAGAAAGCTGCTCTCCTCAGAAACTTGGCCTCTGAACCAGCCATGGGTAAACAATTTGAACCGGGTACTAGCTTGTATCCTGTTAGCTGCCCGGTTCGGTTCACCGTCCTTGTGTTCCTAACCTAAAATAGGAAATTTACGTAAGCAACACTGGGTACAATATGTTTCAGAGTGTTCTCTAACGAGTAAACAATCTCAGCAGTGAAAAATATAACTACAGAAAAATTGATCGTGCCTGTTGCTGGCAGGAAATGTGCACTGGGAAAACTCAAACTGAGAAGGTAGGAATATTTTCCAAGGAAAATTGGAATATTGTTAATTCCATTTCTTCTTCTTTATGGAATGCTTTTATGATAGACAAGTCTCGAAAGAACTTACAATCCAATGTCGAGCAGATAAAGGGTTACAATCACGTATTGCTTCCAATTCTGATTTAAGCAGCTTTTCTTCTGCATAAAATGCATTGTTGTGAACATTATTCTTTCCTGATTCTTCAACTTTGACATCCACCTCAACAACCTGGAGAGGGAAGACTGTGTTAATACTTTTGTTATATTATTTATGAACACATGCTAGCAATGAATTTAATAGTTTTAATGACCTTTCCATTTTTAAAAAGGAACCTTAGAATGGACTGCTAAGTTTAAGAAGTCCAATATGATAAATTAACAGGTAAAGGAGGGAAAGTAAAAAAGAAAAGAAACTTCATACAGCCATGGGTGGCTATGCCAAAGATCATGTTAATTATTTAGTTAATATAGGATTATCAAAAGAGATACTACTTTATACTCTTAAGTCTTAATATTTGGTATTATTCAAAACACAATTCATACTTGTGCTTATCCTTTTGTTACTGAACGCGAGTTACATAATTATAGATTATCATGCAATTATTTTTTTCCAAAAATTAAAATTTGAATTGGATCAAATTACACTGGCTCAAAATATTGAAGTATAAGTCCACCAAACTATTCCTTTGGACTTCTATTGAAAACCATGCCAACTGAAAAGAATAATTGCACACTGACCTGATTGAATGCTTCACCGGGCTTGCAATCAACAGCCATATCCATACGCGCAACAAAAAAGTGTTGGTGGACAGGAGCATATAATCCAGGTGCAATAGTCGTGCCATATTTTCGAGTTTCACCTGGTTGCAATGCTCCTAAGCTGAGAATTCCCGTAAGCTTGACCTCAGCTTCTATTTTTCCATCCTTAAAGAAGGAAAGACCAAATACAGAATCAGATAGACAGCCAATTAATATGCTTACGTCTGAACATTGAAACCTATTACAAAGCCATATGAACTCCTGGAGAGAGGTAGGAATGTAGGATAAACAATACAGAATATCAGATGACTTCAGCATGCAAACTCCATCAATGAAAATCAGAACATACTACGTGATAGAATAGATTTTATAATCATGCAATTAAAATGAAATCTTCCATTCTTTCTGGTTCAGCTGCTAGGATACACAACAGAACCCTCATTTTGAATCCAATACTCTTTACTCACGTTTAAAACCTGAGACCCCCACTTGTATGTACTTAAAATTTTATAGGAAGTATGTATCACTAGGCCTCAACCATGGTTGCAATTCTAACAATCTTATTAGACAGATTCAGAAAAATGAATCCAGACAATAACTTGCCTGATAGAAGTGCCAGAAAAATCCATACTCATAGTTAGCCACAGTGCATATAAAAGACACTGTCAGCCTTCTAGACCGCCGAACTTCAGCCAAACCTGTTCTCCAATCTTGATGTTTCCATAAAATTCCATGATCCTCTTCTTGCAAGCAAACACAATTCTCTATTGTTTCAACACCTCCATTAAAGTTTGTGAAGTGAGCATCAAAGTACTTGACATAGCCTAAACAATCACATCCCTGCTATAATGCCACCTTGTAAAATCATCTACATTTAGAAGAATTTTTTTCTCAAATAATATTTTTTTTTTAAAAAATTACCAAAAAAACATCTATTACACATTATTTACCCAAATAGACCTGTTTACTGTTCACACTCAGAATTCGGTTCCTGGGGAACCGAATTCTTAGCAGCGTAATTTTTTTTTTTTTTTGTGCTCAGATCAAAACGGCCCGTTCTGAATCCAGTTTTCCTCTTCCTTAAAAACTAAAACGCAAAAAAAAATATAAAAAAATACGCTGCTAAGAATTCGGTTCCCCAGGATCCGAATTCTGAGTGTGAACAGTAAACAGGTTTATTTGGGTAAATAATGTGTAATAGATGTTTTTTTTGGTAATTTTTTTTTTAAATATTATTTGAGAAAAAAATTCCATTTAGAAAGGAAAATAACTTGTGAATAGATTACAAGAAAATGCCTTGACCTTCTTGAGAGAATGAGCATTTTTACCCAGACCATCTTCTCCAGCATCAAAAGCATTCTTCCTATAGTGAGGATCATTAGGATCTCCATAAGGGACCACCATCTCAACAAAACTCAATCTGTGGGCCACTGGCCTTCGACCTCGACTTCCATCAATATAGGCTACAGAATAAATTACCAAACCTTCCCTAGGAGTAAAACCAATACGAAAGTTCCACTGCACACAAAAAAATTAACAGCTTTACTTTTACATGTTTACAACATGTCTCGTATGAATTACTTCTAGAAAAAAAGTACAGATACAAACAATCACCTTCTGCCATTGAATGAAGTGCCCATTGACACGAAAACTTGGACCTTCAGGCTGAATAATCTGTAATGGTTTCACATCACTTCTATCAACTCCTCCCCGGGTTTCACCAGAAGTATAATTTCTCAACGGATCAGCAGGTGGAAGGGGGATCAATTTACGATCTTCAAACTCAAGAATTTCCATATTTTGCATGTCAACAAGTATATGGATTCCTTCAACTGGACGAGCATAGCCATTTTCCATGGGACAGTCACTCTCAGTTCTACAAAAAATTAGTGGTTTAGCAAGTCTGCGGCTAGGAGCATCTGCTTCACTATGATATCCAACACACCTGTAAGTTTCAGCTCCTCATGTATTAGAGAGAACAAGACATCAATGATATAGCTTCATATTAAATGTCCTCAATTCATCTCAAACTAGCAACTAACCAGGCATCCACCATCACAAGATCCATGTCCTCAATCCCTCTTCTCTTCATTGCTTCTCGAAAAGGAGGGAAGTCCTTCACGACAGCTTCACATTCAGCATACTCCACAGCATCCTGTATGTATAGAACGAATAACACAAACCCATGTTGATTTGAAACAAATGGAGATAAGGACTAACAGATCACCGTGGTAGTTGAATCAGTTATACAAATTAAGGTATTGTTCCTGTTGAAATTGTGTTTTAGGTATAGAGAAAGAAAGAGATATAAAAGAGAATAAAACACTAATTGATATTGACTGAGATGTAATTTTTTTTTAATCCATAGATATGATTCATGCAATGTCTCAAAATTGATAATCAAGGATTAATCTGTTTTCGTGGAGCATAGTTTCCACTGACCAAAAATTATTTTAACATAGACAACAATCAAATCTGAATGTATTCCAGGACAGAACATACAAGCGCTGATCCAAGAGGCTTGATTTATTAATCGAGATATATAACAATATATTGATATGTTCATAAAACATAAAGAACCAATCTTTATTTATACTAATCATAATTCTAACTAATTAGGAGAAGAAAAAAAATCATAATAAGATAAGGAAATACGGTCGGTCACCAATGATAATGAGAAAATAGACAACTAGTCCTAGAATATTAACATTCATATTATAATTTTAGCTTTTTTATAGAACACGAAGCCAACCATATATGTTGATTAGAATAATCAATTACTTATAATTTGGCTAGAGATTAGTTTTTCATCAACTGAAATTATTATCTAATCACTAGATTGTAAATCAACAACAAATACTGCATCATATGTGTAGCCTAACACACATTCCTCTCAATAATTCTCTTTCAACTAAATCATTTTGGGAATGGGATTCAGGATGCTGACAATTTTGAATAGTTATATTAAGACAAAAACAATAAGAAAGTACCAACAAGTTAATATTAAGAAAGAACCATCAGTCTTGGCCTTTTGGCATAGAATCCAAATCTCTAAGGTCTCCAAACACACGTATTACCATAACCATTTAAATTATGAAAAGTTAACTTACACCATGAAGTAATGTACAATAAAAATTGATTGTGCCACTGGCTTCTAAGGGTCAACAAAGAACCACTAGATTTTGTAGTGACTTGCATTCTAAAATTTTTTATTCAAGTTTTAGCAAAGGCATTTCAATTATCAATGACCATAAAAAGGAAGACTCTTACAAAGTCTAACAAGCAGCAAGATTTCATGAAAGCATAAAATCAAATAAGATATATTTACCATCGGTGGCTGAACATTTGGAACGACTTTAGAAGAAATTACTTTGCCTCTATGATGACCACCTCGAGTTGCTGCATGCACTTGTCTAAGTTCAACAATCCATATGCTTGTCTCATTTGACCTTTTGTTGTAAACAACCAATCGTGCTTTTCTTGGGGGAAGTTTAGTAGGAATCACGGGTCCTCCTTTAGTCCTAGGGAGCAATGATGGCTGGAAAGGAGGGAAGAAATATGCATCTGCTAATGCAACAACTTGCTTATCTGGTTCAACCAAGACCACTTCAACAAAGCGCATGCTATCCCTCACCTAGGAAGATAGGTCCAGCTCATTTAAAGTTAAAAAAAAAACGACTATAAAAATAAATAAATTTTTGGTCTAATCATTCTTTTGATTACTATAAGTTAATAAACGTTATCTTTTAGTCTTTATAATTAAAAATATTTTATTTTAGTTTTTATATCTATCATTTTTTTTCATTTTACACCCTGTAATTCATTATTACAGTAAGACTAAAAGATAAAGTTTACAAAATTATAAAAATTAAAAATAAAAATAAAAAAACAAAAACAATATGTATAGAAGCATTTCATAACTAAAATGAAATGCTTTTTAATTATAAGAATTAAGTTCAAATATCTTTTTTATTCTTATAATTTAGACTAGACTTTTTAATAAAGACCTTTTGCAAACTATACTCTACTATGACCGTAATACTGCTGTTGTGGTACTCCAATAACCTGTAATTGCGGTGTGATTTTAAATCACTAAAAATTCTGCAACGTTAATGTAACATAACCATAATAGATCTCTAACACTATTTTATTCCACTTTTTTTTGTTGTCAAAAAAATATAGATTCAAATTTTAATCATTTAATCTAATAAGTTTGGTCTTACAAGAGAGGGAGGAAGGCAACTAATGATGATTGGTTGAAGTGTTGGAAGGTGAATGATGTATTTTAAGAATGAAAAAAAGGAGTTCGTAGTGAAAAATTAAGAAAAGAGAGTTGATTGATTTTTATAATAATAAAATTATTAGTTTATATTAAGTTAAATATATAATAGTTACGCTGTAACAGCGCAATCTGCATAGTAGTAGCTGCAATGCAATGGCCACCACCGCAATTACAACCGTAATTACAATTTAGAACCATAGTTCCAATACTTAAATTTTTTAATCCTATTTAGTCCCTGCTGTTAATTTTTTATAACATTGTTTTAACGTAAGTAACATAGATTTATTAAATCCAGGTGACGTATTTGGTTTTTTTATCCACGATAAAAAAAAAGGTTTACTATAAAGTCATTAACAATTTAATCAACCATTTGAATCACATTAATGCATAATAAATACTGACCGTCTATAAAATTATACAAATTATTTTTTTCCCTTCCAAACTATTAATTAACACATTACTCTTCACAAAATCAAATACATTACAATCACGTTAATTTAATAAACCACATCACTTACACCAAAAATGGCTTTAGAAAGAAATTGAGAGCAGAGACTTAAAAGATGTAAATATTAGATTTAAAAACGTTTATTTTAAAGTATTGAGATTAAAAAGTAAATGAATAAAATTAGATGAACTAAAAAATATTTTAACCTACCAAATAAAAAGGCAACTATGAAACACAAGCGTAAGAACTTTTATTAAAAGAAAAAAGTTAATGAAGCAGGTCCATGATGAAATGATTTAGAGAATGTAGAGTGAAATAAAATGAAGCAATGTACGTACCTCAGGGGTTGGGCCAGCAGCTCGAACTGTAGCTACGGCCACGGATATTTCAGCGGCTAATAGTGGATCCAAAGGGTGGGAGGTTTGAGGCCTGGTCATGAGTGGGATACCTATGGCAGGAAGTGCAAGTAATTAAGAAAAATGAAATAACTAAGATATAAGAAATAGAAAAGAGAAGAAAGTGAAAACCTTTGGGAGGAGGAGGATTGGGTAAGGAATGAAGGGGAGTGGTCCAAGAAGGAGTGTTGGGCGTGGCTTTTTCCTGAGTTGTTGTGGCCATTGTACTACTCCTCTCACATACACCAACGCTTCAATGCACAACACCAACACTTTAAATTCAATTGCTAAAGTTTTTTTTGTGTTTTTGCTTCTCTTCACCGCTCT